TGTATCAAGTCCACTGTCAGATGCTGGGAATCAAGACAACTACTATGGCAGACGACTTTGGACTCGGTGCATCTACATAGTCTCCCTGAACATAAGACCAAGTTGCGACGAGGTCAACCTGCTTTTATTTGGGTTTGTTTACATACATCTAAGTTTTGACTACGTGTCGCTGCTGCATTTTCTCATGTCTCGCCTTCTCCGTCTCCAATGTTTTTATTGACTCGACCTCTAATTCAACTTTGTTCTTTTCACAAGAGTTTTAAATATCTACTAACGACGATTTTAAAGATTATTTTTATACCATCTATCAGTGATGGGGTTTGTAGAAATAAATTCATTTTCATCATATTCAGTTAAAAGGCGTGAGAGCCGTTGACATTCTAAATCAAACGTAACTTAAAAATGGTGATCAATACATTTTTTTTATTTTTAACATATTTTCTGATAGGATTATCATAATCTATTTCGATTTGAGTTCTGCCATTGATTATTACCATACATTACCATCATTTAACTCAAATAATGGCCTCATCTCCCCCCTCCACTTATGCTTAATTACTTTGGCCATTTTTTCTCAGCTCTCCTCTCTCAATCTTGCAAGCAACCGTCTATCCAACTTGTATGCCTTCTCCGGGCTTTGGAAATCAGGTCCATGCGCCAACCCTTACCCGGCGGTTTCAATTCAGCGTTTAGATCTTAGCGCCAATCCTCTTTCTCATCTAAATCTCTTGCTCCCTCTACGTGGGATCCAGAATCTCGTGGAACTGGACCTATCGGATACTCCCGTCATGCTTCGCAACGAGACTAATGACAAATCATTGGCTGCGTAAGTTACCCTCAATTGCCAGTACCTATATTCCTTGAATCTTGCTTCATTTATGCTATTACGACTATTGAGCGTAATATATCACTTCCTTCTATATGATTCGCCCATTGGTAATTTCCTTTTTTGTTTGAATCATAACTATACTTTTTTGGTGTTGAAATTGTTTAAGAAATAGAGTATGCCATTTAACAGAATGCATAGAGTTATATCTTTTTTGCCATCAGAAGCCTGCATAAGTATTATGATACTTATGATTAGATGCATTTTGGCTGGTTCATTATGCTTATCATTTCATCATTCTTCTCATCAGCTACCTCAATATCATTTACTAAGTTCCGTTTCTTTTAATAACTAAGCTGTGATTCTCGTGCTTACTGTACTTTGTGAATTGACTATTTTCTCTTCTTGCTACTCAATATCCATAGATGGTCTACTGGAATAGTCCGAAATGACTACTCGCAACCTTAAAATACCCCATATTGCAGGAATTGCTAATTTTCTTATCAATATGTCTCATCCTCTCGTTATTCTAATTTTGTGGTCAGATTGGTAGTTATTTGAAAATAGCGTCCAACTATGGATGCATGAGCTTATGTTGCTATTGGTCCATTCTTATTTTTTATAGATTTGTCAGCTGCATTTTGTAAAATCATTTACTAAGCTTTGCGTTTTCTCTTGCTCTCTATGTGGTCTTGTCACTTGGATCAATCGACAAAACCCTCTTCCCCTCTCCAATCGAGGCAGAAGAATTCGGCGTATCATCCCTGGGCTTACCAAACTAGTGAGTCCGCATTTACATTTTTCGGTTATCTAGTTATCTACTTTTGCAGACCTTTTTACTACAAAATGATAAGAAAATCTTAGACAATCAAGCCATTTAAATAAAAACGAACTACTAGACAACTAAGTACTTACAAAATTAACTTACTGGACTTTTTTCTTCAGCAAAAAAAGAAAAATATTATTTCTGCATATTCTTATTATCGCTGTCTTTTCTAGAATGGACAGGAGCTTCCAGCCACCATCCAATTTGCAGTTGAACAGGGGATTACCACGGAAAGTTCTGAATCTTTGAACAAACTCCCTCTTCCCGAGTCCGTTCTTGGATACTTCCCCAACGACACCATTCGCCTTCCTCTTTTGACTTTTCTCAAAGGGTGAGAAATTTAGACAAACCTACTTGAAAAAAAACGTTTGATTATTTTCAAATCATATTTTATTTTATGGTGTCCACTAGTAATGTTCCAGTTCATAGTATACACTTAGCCTTATCCGGTTATTTTACTGTATCCATTTTGTAATGGTCTAGTGATATCAAGACATGCTATTATTGAATTGGCCATTATGTTAATCCTGATCTAATATCCCTCGCTGAGGAAATGGGTGTTATCCATGCATAAGATAAATTTTGCTGACCAAAAAGCCTTTTAATTTATTTCTTTAAAAAATTCCGTTTTACCGATTATCGAAACCGCAAATTATTTTCATAATTTATGTCAATGGATTTTTCTTATTTACACAACTTTCTGCGAGTGAACTATTTTATTTAAGAGAATCCTTACAAAAATTTAGCGTTATGGTAATTTTCACACTTTCTGCATATATTCGAACAATCGACTTAATAATGAGGATACGATCAATTCTATGCTCCTTCCTGATATTGCTTTGTAGGGCTCAATATATCAACTATAATATTTTCCGATTGCTGCCTTGTTATTTTTGACAGATATCTAAACAAATTTGACATGGAGCGCCGTGGCGAGCATTTGCTGCCATACTATTCTGCCAATTCTGTCCTTACCATTTCAACTTCACCTTTTTTCTCCGGGGGCTGCGGTTACAGTGGATTATCCGGCAGTGGTGGCGGTAACAATCAGCCGGTTTCAGCTACTATAACAATGCCAGAAACTGGCCGTCGTGTTCTCCTCTGTACTGCTCGCCTTCCTGATGTCTACCTTTCTCGGAGCCGCAATTTGCTGCGCTGCCGTGACGAAACACGTCGTCGCGATCTGATCGCTCGTGGTACTCTGGGCATTGCATCACAATTGGATTCCTTGCCATGCACTGAACATCTTTTAGATACACTGTCAATAGACGTCATATTTCATTCGGTAAGCTCCTTATAAGCACAATTTAATCGAAAAATTTGACCGCAGTTGCTAAGCCTACTCTGCAGGACTCGTCTTTACTATGCCCCTATTTTCAGAATAGCCGAAACGCTTTAACGCCGCAGGAATTATATCCTGCATCTTTGATACCTTAGACTTGCTACGGGATATCTGAACAGAATATTTTCTGTAGTCCTGTTCTCTACTTTGCTCTGGGAGGTTTGCCAATAAAGAGTTTGACAGATATCCATTAATCTTCGTTATGAATAAATTAATATATAATTAATTAATTTCGAATAAAAACGTTATATTACTTGAGATCACTCATTTTTAACTTTGATTTTGTCTAACAAAAATACCTTCATCGAAAGACGAACCTTTTTTTCTTTACATATTTCTAAATGGTTAAGACAATTAGGTTATGATTATAGCTTAGGCCGTTACTTTGCCAGCTACATGCTGAAATTGGCGGCTGATAACTTTATCAGTTAATAAAATAAACTGCATGCCTAGTTTGAGTGGTAGTTGGGCTGAAAACAATTAATTTATTGTGCAGGAATGTCGAAATTTCACCGTCTTAAACATATGGCTCATATGGCAAGTTGGTTTTGATTTGATAATATTGTTTATCCAGTTTTATAGGCAGGGTCTAATTCCTTGATAGCCGTGATTGTGTCGAGGCCATAGAAATGCCTTTTTAACATTCCATTTATGAAGAATTGATTTAATCAGGATACTTTTTGTAGATACGAAGAATAACTGGGTTTCGATTAATCTCCTTGTTGTGGAAACCTTCAGTTTATATGAAAATGCGTGAAGAAGAGATTCGTAGGTTTATCTTACCAAGAAAATTTTTGCTTTCATCTTTGCTGCTTCAGGAGACCCAGATTCTCTTCACCATGTGTGGGATCTTCTTTGAGGTGCATAAACTCTCTGTGCCCTCAATTTCTTCGGCCGCCTCCTCATGCCCTGCCAACCGCCCAGCTGAACTACGTAAAGTGTTGCGATGCTTCAGCCGCACCATGATTTTGGTGGCGCCCGAGGGTCACATCATTCAAGAGGACTTCATCATCTCTAACCCAAGTCATGCCCTTGTAAAGGTAGGTTTTCTGTTTTTTTCTCTTTCAGAACTAGCGCTTATCATGACTTTCTCATGCATTGAAGTGGATCGTTTTTTAAATAACTGGAATTCAGGCTGTGCATTCACAGCTACTGCGGAAGTGAGCTTAATAATGCTCTGGTATTTTGGACAGTAGTCAGATTTTATTTAATTCTTTCAGGGTGTTTAAAGCTATTATCACTATTATGTGTAATGGCTTAGTGCTAAGTTTGCATTTATCTGTACTGCAAGTCGTACTTTTACCTAGAGTGTAGCAAACTACGGCATTTCCATCCATACTATAACGCCAAGCCGACTGAATTATGCATAGCTCTTGTTTTCCCCTTACTTATTCTTAGTCTTCAACATTCCATTTTATGACTTTTTTAAATAATATGTCTGTGTCTTGGACATTATCCCTCGACTTGCTCACCGAGTGTATTTCTGACGACTCCATCTTGGCTCAGCTTATCTGTTGGGTCTATCAGATTCACTTTAAATATCCATAAGATCATCACCAAGAACCAGCTGATTTATTCTGCCACGAGATTTGCGTTACACTAGGATAGTTGCCGTTTTCTATGTACTTGCACCGACAAAATTTTTCGCAGCTTTAGGACAATTATACAACCTCAAATTGATTTCATTATATATATATATATGTACCATTAATTTTCAATTTTAGAAGCACATCTTCGACGTAGAACATTCAGCCAAAATGACTATTCCTCTACAGCCAAGTAAGGCTGGCGCCTTGGAAGCTCCCGTGACACCGGCCTCAAACTTGCCAACTTCAGCGACTTCGCGCGACGACCACTTACGCCTCTTCTGCCAGCGCACTGGGATGAATGAAGCGTTCGCCCGGCAATGTCTTGAGGAGTATCAATGGGATTTTGCTAGGGCTGCAGAAAGTTTTGACCTTATGCATGCGGCTGGCAGTATTCCTGCCGCAGCTTTTGTCCGGTAACAATACATTCATGCTCTAAAGCATGCCATGCACGCGGTTTTCTTTTTCGTGTCCGTTTCCTACCCCACTTTTT